GCTGCTCCGTCCCCTGCCTCTACCTCACCTCGTCCCATGGGACGAGCCTCTTGCCCACTGCCCCACCTGGAAACCCCTGGATTCCCTTCCTAATCCCTCCAAGCCCCTACAGGCACCCCAAGCCAAGCTACAAGCTGGCCACACTCCCTGGGACACGCTGTTGGCCGCAACCACCCTGGCCATGCTCATGCTCCGCCCTGGCCCCTGGAGGACAACCACAATGCTGATCTAGACCTCAATGAAATCGAGTTTGACATCCCTGATGTAGGGCCTAAGTTTATTGTTCACCATGCAACTAACCATTCATACTACTAACCCTGCCCCAAACAAGCAGAGTGAATAATTTGGAAAACTCAATATGAATTGGCCTAAGAGAGAATTAAGAGGGTGAATTAGAAATTCAAATAAATGAGGACAGATATGATATTGTTGCCATTACAGAAACTTGGTGGGATGAAACCTATAAATGGAATATACAGCTAGAAGGATTTAAATTATTTAAAAGAAATAGACCAAATAAAAGAGGAGGTGGAGTTGCACTATATATAACAGGGGTTTGCAACCTTAAACACTCAAAGAGCCATTTGGACCCATTTCTCACAGAAAACAAAACACTGGGAGCCACAAAACCTGGGTGGGCATGGCCAACTCAATGTCACTCGCTCCCACGGAGTCACATGACCCAGCCATGCCTACCCAGGTTTTGTGGCTGTCGGTGATTTCTTTTTTATGGGAAACAGATCTCTCTCTCTCTCTCCCTCCCTCATCTCTCTTTCTCCCTCTCTCTCCCTCCCTCCTTTTCATCTTTCTCTCTCTCTCTCTCTCTTTCTTTCTTTCTCTCTTTCCATCCCTCTCTCCCTCTCCCTCTCCCTTCTCTCTTTCTTTCTCCCTCTCTCCCAAACTCCCTCTCCTTCCCTCCCTCTCATCTCTTTCTCTCCCTCCCTCTCCCCATCTCTTTCTCCCTCTCTATCTCATCTCTTTCTCTCTCATCTTTCTCCCTCCCTCCCTCTCTCCCATCTTTCTTTCTCTTTCTCCCTCTCTCCCTCTCTCTCATCTCTCTTTCTCTCTCATCTCTTTCTCCTTCCCTCCCTCTCTCCCATCTTTCTTTCTTTCTCCCTCTCTCCCTCTCCAATCTCTCTTTCTCTCTCTCCCTATCTCTACCTCCCTCTCCCTCCCTCCCTCATCTCTCTTTCTCCCTCTCTCTCTCCCTCTCTCCCTCCCTCCTTTTCATCTTTTTCTCTCTCTCTCTTTCTTTCTTTCTTTCTCTCTTTCTGTCCCTCTCTCCCTCTCCCTCTCCCTTGTCTCTCTTTCTTTCTCCCTCTCCCAATCTCCCTCTCCTTCCCTCCCTCTCATCTCTTTCTCTCCCTCCCTCTCCCCATCTCTTTCTCCCTCTCTATCTCCCTCCCTCTCTCTCATCTCTCTTTCTCTCTCATCTCTCTCCCTCCCTCTCCCTCTTTCCCATCTTTCTTTCTCTTTCTCCCTCTCTCCCTCTCCAATCTCTCTTTCTCTCTCTCCCCATCTCTAGCTCCCTCTCCCTCCCTCTCTCATATCTCTCTCTCTCTCTCTTTCTTTCTCTCCCTCCCTCTCCCCATCTCTTTCTCCCTCTCTCTCCCCCCTCCCATCTCTCCCTTTCTCTCTGTGAGAGGGATCTTGGAGTTCTAGTGGACAACCATTTAAATATGAGCCAGCAGTGTGCAGCAGCTGCCAAAAAAGCCAACACAGTTCTAGGCTGCATAAACAGAGGGATAGAATCAAGATCACGTGAAGTGTTAATATCACTTTATAATGCTTGGTAAGGCCACATTTGGAATACTGCATTCAGCTTTGGTTGCCACGATGTAAAAAAGATGTCGAGACTCTAGAAAGAGTGCAGAGAAGAGCAACAAAGATGATTAGTGGACTGGAGGCTAAAAGATATAAAGAACAGTTGAGGAACTGGGCATGTCTAGTTTAATGAAAAGAAGTACTAGGGGAGATATTATAGCAGTGTTCCAATATCTCAGGGGCTGCCACAAAGAAGAGGGAATCAGGCTATTCTCCAAAGCACCTGAGAGTAGGACAAGAAGCAATGGGTGGAAACTAATCAAGGAGAGAAGCAATTTAGAACTAAGGAGAAATTTTCTGACAGAACAATTAATCAGTGGAACAACTTGCCTCCAGAAGGTTTAAATGCTCCAACACTGGAAGTTTTTAAGAAGATATTGGATAACCATTTGTCTGAAGTGGTGTAGGGTTTCTTGCCTAAGCAGGGGGTTGGACTAGAAGACCTCCAAGGTCCCTTTCAACTCTGTTATTCTATTCTATTCTATTCTATTCTATTCTATTCTATTCTATTCTATTCTATTCTATTCTATTCTATTCTATTCTATTCTAATATTCATAAATGACTCAGAACTCCTGAAAGACTGCAAGAGATAATAATTTCTTATGGAATCCAAGATTCATGAATTAATAAAGATGTTGGTTTAAATGGTGGTGAGGCCCCTCCTCAAGAAGCCCTCTCTCGACCCGGCTGTTTTGGCAAACTACCATCCAGTCTCCAACCTTCGCTTTGTGGCGAAGGTTGTTGAGAGTGTGGTGGCACGACAGCTCCCGCAGTACCTGGATGAAACTGTCTATCTAGATCCATTCCAGTCCGGCTTCAGGCCTGGGTACAGCATGGAAACGGCATTAGTTGCATTGGTTGATGATCTCTGGAGGGCTCGGGACAGGGGCTGCTCCTCTGTTCCGGTCCTATTAGACCTCTCAGTGGCTTTTGATACCATCGACCATGGTATCATGCTGCGCCGGCTGGAGGAGTTGGGATTGGGAGGCACCGTTTTACGGTGGTTCTCCTCCTATCTCTCCGACCGGTCACAGTCTGTGTTGGCAGGGGGGCAGAGGTCAACCTCAAGGCACCTTGTTTGTGGGGTGCTGCAAGGGTCGGTCCTCTCACCTCTCCTGTTCAACATTTATGTGAAGCTGCTGGGTGAGATCATCTGTGGTTTTGGAGTGCAGTGCCAGCTGTACATCTCCACCCCAGACCACCCCAATGATGCCCTTGAAGTGATGTCCCGGTGCCTGGAGGCCGTGCGGGTCTGGATGGGGAGGAACAGGCTCCAACTCAACCCCTCTAAGACCAAGTGGCTGGGGTTGCCGGCGTTCCGATATAGCCAGCTGGTGCCATCGCTGGCTATTGGGGGCAAGTCATTGGCCCCCACAGAGAGGGCTCGTAACTTGGGTGTCCTCCTGGATGCACGGCTGTCTTTAGAAGAGCATATGACGGCCGTGGTCAGGGGTCTTTTTATCAGGTTCTCCTGATATGCCAGTTGCGCCCCTTTCTGGATCGGGACTCCTTATGCACGGTCACTCAGGCCCTCGTCAGTTCCCGCCTGGACTACTGCAATGCTCTCTACATGGGGCTCCCCTTGAGGAGCACCCGGAGGCTCCAATTGGTCCAGAATGCAGCCGCGCGGGTGATTATGGGGGCGACATGGCGCTCCCATGTAACACCTCTCCTGCGCGAGCTGCACTGGCTTCCGGTGGTCTTCCAGGTGCACTTCAAGGTATTGGTTCTCATCTTTAAAGCGCTCCATGGCTTAGGGCCTGGGTATCTACGAGACCATCTTCTGCCACCGATAACCTCCCACTGGCCAATAGGCTCCCACAGAGAGGGTCTCCTCAGGGTGCCATCAGTCAAACAATGTTGACTGGTGGCCCCCAGGGGGAGAGCCTTCTCTTTGGGGGCACCCACCCTCTGGAACGAGCTACCCCCAGGGATACAACTGATCCCGGATCTCCATACTTTCCGCCGGGCCCTGAAGACTTTTCTATTTCAGCAAGCCGGGCTGGCTTAAAATTTTTAACTGGTTAATTTTATGGGTAAGGGGTTTTAAATTGGGGAAGCCAAATTGATTTAATTATGTTTTAAATTATTTTAATTTTCATATTGTATGTATTTTAATCTTGGCTGTTCACTGCCCTGAGTCCTTCGGGAGAAGGGCGGTATAAAAATTTTAATAATAATAATAATAATAATAATAATAATAATAATAATAATGATGATGATGATGATGATGATGATGATGATGATGATGTCCCGTTTGTAATTGGAGCTCTTGGAGCAATACCCAAAGGGCTACCCTTTTATTCAGAAATTCTAAATTTGCCGGACTTGAACATTTTGACTCTACAAAAAACCACCTTACTCAGAACAGCTTACATCCTCCGACGATACCTTAACAGTTCCTAGGTCCTTGGTTAGGACTCGAGCTGCTGAGCTATTAACCAGCCTCAAAAGCTGTGAATCTCATTAAAGATTAAATAATAATAATAATAATAATAATAATAATAATAATAATAATATCCAGACTTCACTCTCCTTGCAGAGTCCAATAATATTGCAACATCCATCTTACTTCTTTTGTTAAATATCTGATAAATTTCTAGTGGGAATTTTCAAAATCTGCATTTTCAAAATCGGCTTTTATAGGGAAAAAAGAAAATACAGCAGAACTCAACATTATAGCAACAACTTAGCTGCCCAGAATTCTAGGACATGAAATGCTTTTCAAATAATTATTTTCTTTCATAATTTCAAGGGGAAGACTTATATATACAGTAGCTTAGCCTTTCTTATGTTTTTACACACAATATTCATTAAGTGCAAATAAAAGTATAGTCAAGGGAGAATAATTCCACTCAAAGAATTTAACTGAACAAGGAGAAAAGCATATTAATTCCTGAAAATAATTTTTAATGTGGCAATGGAACAGGATTAAAGATGAAAAAAGGAGGAGTTTGCTCCTCCACACATTTTTACCTTTTAAAGAAAAAAATGTTGCCAAAAATGAACAATTTTTTTAGCTCTATTTTCATAGAATAAGCTTCAGGTTCATAGAGGTCCTGGCAATTCTTGTCTCATTCAACAGAAACCATGGTGTTCAAGAAGATATTCTTATTTTTTGTTATACACAAAACTTCAGTTATGTGCTTGGTAAATATAGTAAAGGATCTCTTACCAGATTCACAGCTTGAGCCTGTAAATCCTTGTGGACAGGCACAGACATTGGAGGCAATGCAAATTCCACCATTTCTACAACTATCCTTGCAAAAGGCTGAAACCATTGAAGAAAATTTTAAGAGGAAAAATTATAAGATCTTCAATTCTATTTTAAGTGGGAGAGAAGGATATTTTCCAAATATCTGAATACAAATTATTTAAGTCTAATTTGAATACACAGTAAACCTTCTAAAAGAATCCTGCAGATTTGTACTTATCCCCCTCCCCGCCCACATGGCTTAGATATATTTTATCCCTTTTTGCTGTGATGACAAGGCTGCATAACTGCTATAGTCATCTTCATCACTCTCTATAACCTTTTTGACCTTGGATGATTTCACATAATAATGTATCATTATTTTGCTGATATATCTAAATTGATCAAACTTACTTACCTTTGAATTTTTCAGAACTGCAATCACATTCATCTTTCAGGTACAAAAGCAAGTTTAGCACATAAGGTGTTAAAAATAAATATCTGGTGTTAAATGCAGCATCAAGAAAGGAAATGGTACTAACAATGGATGATTGTAATGCAAAGGTTAGAGAAACAAAGGGGTTTTGAAATCTGAATCATGTTGTGATATCTTACCTTTGCATATGGTACCATTTCCAGTATAACCTGGTTTGCAAATACAGTTATGTCCTCCTACAGTATTGAAACACAATGCATTTTCATCACAGTCCTGTTTGTTGGTGAGGCATTCATCATGCTCTGAAGGTTAAAAAAAAAGCCACTTAGCATTTAATATTGTATTATTCCTTGATATATTCATTTCTGCCTGCATTTTTTCTCCTTGTAATTTGGCTGTAAATAAACATCTTAATATATTGAGTTAAATTCTGCAGAAACAATGGTATTTACCAGTGGTGGGATTCAAATAATTTAACAACCAGTTCTCTGCCCAAATGATTTCTTCCAACAACTAGTTCACCAAACTGTTCAGGAAGTTAACAACCGGTTCTCCCGAAGTGGTGTGAACTGGCTGAATCCCACCACTGGTACTTACTGTGTCTTATTGGATTTAGTAGGACTCGAGTAAAGATAACTTAGAAGAAATCTGCTGTACCAACATAATATGATGTAACTATATTCACCACCATTGTGTAAGCACTCATTTATTTCAATTAAATGTACATAGAGTTTCAGACTAAGCTGTTTTTCCAATCTTTGGTTTAAGAATCAAAAGCAAACAGCCGTCAAAGACAGTATGCAGAAATGTCTTTTTCTGCAATAATTTGGTGTTCCCCTCTTCCTTTTTTGCATCAATCCACATTCTATCACAACAAATAAGGAGTGGAACAAAGCTTGAAGGACCATTTTGCTCAGGTACGGCTTCCATAAATCTGCCTGCTCAGGTTTCCAGATAGTTGTGGCAGCTGCTTGCCCCATATTTAAGTCTCCATTACTTCTCCCCTAAGCTTTTCCACTTTGTTTTTCTCAGCACTTCCCACTGAAGGTGGAATCAAACTAAACCAGTTATAAAACATTATATGAACAAATGGAGGGGTAATGATGCTAAGATTATTGATAAATTGCATCAAAGTTATACCAATTTTTGTTCTTGCAAAAAGAATAGTGAAAAATATTAAATAATTATTTGCCAAATTACTGTATGTACTAAAAGTAATATCAGAAAAGGAGATTGTACTATTAATGGGTGATTAGAATGCAAAAATTAGAGAAACAAAGGAACTTGAAATGACAAGATTTTGGGGATGTATAAATTCAATAATCTAGGAGGCACAGAATTGCAAGAAAATTTATAGCTAAACTCGAGCAAATTTACAAAATAACTCTTATAGAGTCAAATAATGTTAAAAGAAAGACCATATTGAAACTCTTTACAATCAGAATTCTAGAATGGCAGAAATATTTGTAGAAAAAGAATAGACTTACAAACAAAGAGAATAGACTTACTAATCAAGAATTATATAGTCTTGGTTTTGGACAATCAGTAGAAGCAGTATACTAGCTATGAAACAGAAAAGCACAAGGCACTAATGAAATATTAATTAAACCATTTGAAGCTGCAAAAGACAAGGGAGTGCTAAAGTTTTACAGCAAAATAATTAAGCAAATATTAATATATATAAGGAAAGATTGATAGTGGGGTGGAGAAGTAAAGCAAAAATTAATTTTGTAAAACTAATTATTTTCCTTGGTGGTTTGTATAATATACACACCCAAGTACATAGACATATTTATATGTATGGCTGTGGTAGTGTGTAGTAAAACAAAAGATAGAATCAAGAATGAATAGCTCTTGAATGAAAGTGGATTTAATACAAGTAAGAGTGACAATTTGAGAAAAGTATGCTGAGGTGGTTTTGCCACACAAAGAAAATGATTGAGGATTGAACTGAAGAAGCATAAGTAAAGGGATCAAGAGGAAAGGGAGGACAGAGAAAGTTGCAGTTGGACTCAATTAATAAGTTCCTGAAGAAAAGTGAGAATGTAGGAATTTGTCCATGGATATGGTATAAGTAATAATGTCTTGCAAAAATAGAAAGATATGACAAAAATGACAATAAAGGTTATCTTATCTCATCTCATCTCATCTCATCTTATCCTATCTTATCCTATCCTATCCTATCCTATCCTATCCTATCCTATCCTATCCTATCCTATCCTATCTTATCTTTTTCATTATCATCTTATCATTTTATGCTATGCTATGCTATGCTATGCTATGCTATGCTATGCTATGCTATGCTATGCTATGCTATGCTATCATTCTCTTCTCTTCTCTTCTCTTCTCTTCTCTTCTCTTTTCCTATCCTATCCTATCCTATCCTATCCTATCCTATCCTATCCTATCCTATCCTATCCTATCCTATCCTATCCTATCCTATCCTATCTTCTTATCAAGAGCTACAGTTAATAATAAAAGTATCAACTATTTTTACATATCTTTCCTTTTTCTATTATTATTAATTACACCATACTTCCTAAAATACTTTGGATCATGAAATATCGTGAAGAAGAACCCAAAACGTTCTGAATTTTAATACAGTTGATTGATTGGTTGATTTATTGATTGATGTAATCTTATATCAATCCATCTCACCAGTGCAACTCTAGGTGGGTAACAGAACTGAAAATAAAATACAATACAATACAAAATACAATATAAATATAATGTATATTTTAAAAAATAAATATACCAGCTAATACCAAGTGGCTTCTCAAAACACATTCTCTAATAGCCGAGATTGATTATTCTCTTGTTCCCTTTATGTTATACGGAAATTTCCAGCAGATCACTAAAATTCCTTTCTACATTAGGAGTATAGATAGTACTCAACTTACAACCACAATTGAGCCCAAAGTTTCTGTTTCTAAGTGAAACTTTTGTTAAGTGAATTTTGCCCCACTTTATGCCATAGTTGCTAAGTGAATCACAGCAGTTGTTAGTAACGTGGTTGTTAAGTGAATCTGGTTTCCCCATTGACTTTTCTGGTCACAAAAGGGGGATCATATGACCCCAGGATATTGCAACTGTCATAAATATGAGTCCATTGCCAAATATTTGAATTTTGATCAGGTGACCATGAGGATGTTGCAAGAGTCATAAGTGTAAAAAATGGTCATAAGTCACTTTTTTCAGTGCTGTTGTAACTTCGAATGGTAACTAAATGAACTATTGTAAGTCAATGAATACATGTACTTTTTGTGAATGTAATTCAGCTGGTTAAAGAAAACTTGACCAATTTAGAACTGCAAGCCAATTTGGCCTGGTTATCATCTAGTTGCTAATCAGATAGTCTTTTAAACTATATGGAAAATATATAATTTTAGACATCTTAGATATATCAGGACAGCTCACTTTATGCCTCTACTTCGATGCTTGAGATTGTTAGCATTCAATATGTGATTGAGGAAATTCTGGAAAACCTGTCAGAGACTCTTCAAAAGGAAGATCAGTTACATCAGGCATGTTTCATCCAAAGATTGCTTGACTGTTGCTACATGTGTTTTCCTCAAAATGCTACACTATGATAGTGATGGGTATGTAGTTTAGAAGCGCTCAGAAGAAATTTGAGATCCAAGAAAGTCTAGGGAAAAAAATCACTTGACATGAATGAAAATAAACTTTGGAATATGTCCCCTAATGGTTTATAGTATTCAAAGTTTAGCAGCAGAAGCACAGCAGATCTTTAACAATGAGAGGTGAAAATATTGAAGAAAACAGGTTTAAAATTAATTGCTTTAGAATAATTTTAAAACCTTCATGTATTTAAACAATCTACAATATGAAAAGGGTTTTTTTTCTTCTTTTTATGATTCACCTGGCAGGTTCCAATACACAATGAAAACTCCACACGCAAATGATGGTTTGAATCCTGTTTACTGGCACAAACTGACATCCATAAACAACTACATGAAGGTATTGTTGGAGCTAATGCTCCGTGCTCCCCACCACCTTATAAAGCCTACCACCCAGGTGACCCTTAATCCAGCCCCACCCCACTCATTAGCAATTGGGTCCTTCTTACTCCCCTCTGTGCTCCCAGCCAGCCAGCCACACCCCAGGCATGGCAAGCAAGGCAGCTATGAACTCATCCTCGTGCGGCTCCAGGCTTCCTGCTCAGCAACACATGCAGAAGCCAGGAGGGACAAGTACTGTCCAGGCCACCCAGAGACACTCCGCCGCCTGTCCAGTCCAGCTGTGGTGAGGGTGCCTTACAAAATTACAGAGGAGGTCACCGTGGCTCTGGTGACGTCATCAGACAGTGCCTGCAGTCTCTGGAGTGTGCAGTCAACACCAACCTGCTCTCCTGTGGCGAGAGAGTACAAGTGCTCTTGTACTGGGGCATCTGGGAGAGTGCATCCACTAAGAAGTTCTTTCCTCCCAGAATGTATCAGATCAGTTGAAGTATTGGGCCCATAGCACTTGCTTCAGGGAGAGTTTATGGGGTCCTCAGATACTCCACGTTTTCATGATCTGTCCATTCTTCAAAGGGGACCTTACTGCCTTCTAGGAACTGCCTCCATGTTAGCAGGGCCCAACAAACCACAAAAGCTTATTTCTCCCACCCTGCCCAATGTCTCTCAGTCTCATTTAGTTTGCAGGATATGTAGGCACAGGGCTGCAACTTTCCCCCTGTGTTCTTCTGGAGAAGGACTGACCATTGTCATATTGCTTGCATCTGTCTGTATTACGAACAATTTATCTGGGTTTGGGTGTTTGAGGACCAGCTTAGCCTCAAAAAGCCATTTGTGCTTCTTGAACACCACCTGGCATTCCATAGTCCAGTTTACCGGCTGGCTGGGCTTGGGATTCACTCTGCCTCTACTCATTTTGAGCAACTCTGTGATCAGCAAGGTGATCTGAGAAAATGAGGGAATAAACTGTCTATAAAAGTTGGCAAAATTTAAGAAACTCTGCAGTTGCTTTGGGGTTTGGGGGGCTTGCCACTCCAAAATGGCTTTCACCTTCCCTGAGCCCATTCTATTCTCTCACATGACACCCAGTACTCCCTAAGTAGTCCAGACTGATTTTATGAAACTCACATTTTGACAGTTTGCCATGTAGCTTAGCATCCAGTAGTTTTCTAAGCACCTGGTGTACCAGTTTCTCCATCATCTCAGAGTAGATGAGGATATAATCCAAGTACACAAGGACCCCCTTGTACAAATGCCCATGCAACACTTCATTTATCAGTTGCATGAACACAGCTGGTGCTCCCTGCAGCCCCAAAGACATCATTCTAAATTAGTAGCATCCCAAGAGGCAGTTAAATGTGGTCTTCCACTCATCCCCCTTTTTAATTCTCACACGGTAGTATGCCTCCCTCAGGTCCAGTTTAGTAAACATCTTTCCTTTTGACAAGTACCCCAGCATGTCTTTCATGTGAGGGAGGGGGTACATGTCCACACAGATCTAGTTTATTCCATGGAAATCCACACACAGTCTCAGTGACCCATCTTTTTTCTCTTTAAACAGCACAGGGGCTGCCATTCAGACTTCACTAACTAGATGAAGCCCCTGGCTAATTTTTTATCAACAAAGTCTCTTAGCTCCCCATCTAGTTGGGGGCCATTGCATACATTTTAGGCTTAGGGAGCATTGCCCCTGGCAAGATCTCAATCTTAATATTGATCTTCTCTGGTCTTATGATATTTTCATGTGGCACTCAATAAATTTCTATTATCACAATCAATGATTATAGGATAATTTAGCTAGCATTCTCAACATCCTGAGATGTAACAACCAGCCAGAATTACTGGGATGTAAAAACTGAATAAATAAATTCTAAATATATTCCAGTTTAAGGTGAAAAAGTTTATTTCATACTACATTTTTATCAGTTTGGATGTATAATTCACCCCTTTCCTAAATCATGTTAGGAATTTATTTCTTCTTTCTATGAAGTATAGGAAGTTAGCACCCACCCCTCTCCTAGAAAAATGAAATATTCTAGGAAATATTAAAAAGGCAGAATATTTCCCCTAAAAGAGAAATAGAAAACTTAAGACAGAAACTCAGCCCCAGCTCCCTGCCCCCAGCAAGAAGATGGTAAGAAGATGTGAGCAAATTGTGTAAAGAGTGGGCTTTGCTCAGAGATGAAGCTGGAAAACCAGTTTGGCTAAATAAAGGTACTTAAAAGAAAAGGGAATTATATAAATAGGAAGTTCTCTGTCTTCCATGCAACCACGTGGTATGTTGTTAAGATTTGTGCTTAATTTAATTGAGATTTATGATGGGAATGACCAGTGTGTGCAGGTGTGTGAACATGAAAGTTCTGTTCTCCTTTTCTGTTTTGTTTCTCTTATCTTTGTGTGTATATGTGTGTCTAAGTCTTTGTGTGCCCTTAAGATAATTGCAACTGTTAAATTATCTGATCCCTAGAGACAAGAACTTTGATATAATGTTAAGGGAGGGGGAAGAGGAGTTAAAGCATTGAGGGGGAGGGGAAAAAAGGAGCATTTGTCCTGTGTTTGGCTGGCCAACAAAAACAGAGTAAAGAAAAGTGTTCTTTTTTTCCTTCCCTCTCTGTACCTTTAAGAAAAGCCCAAGGTTATGAGAGAATGTTTTAAGTTCACTTACAGGAAAAGTTTCATTCTTGCATTTACTGTATGGTTTTATCTGTCCATCCTTTTTCTGAAGCATGTGAATCCAGTTTTTTTTCCTCATCTGTGATGTCCCCATTTTGTTATAACTGGTCTATCTGTTTAATAACTGTAGTACTGATGTTGTTGTTTTTTCCCTCAAACTCTGCCTGCAAGCTGTCTACCTCCCCCACTCCAGCCCCCAGTCCCCACATCTCTAATCTGTTACAATGCCTTTCCTGGGAAGATTACCCACAAAAGCGGGGAGGGGACGCTGTTCTCATGTCTTTCAGCCCTGCACAGATAATTTTGCAACCTGTGGAAGCAGATCACACTGACACAGATGCTGCCTTCAGAGGAGACCATCGATTTGAGCCAGGAATTGGGTCCAGCCTTCCACTAGATCCAGCCTTCCACTAGAAAGTCATTGCAGCAACCAGAGTGGAGCAGACCTTCCCAAGTCTGACTGACCACCTTTACCACCAAGCCAAGCCTAATGCCACCCAGCAGACATGAAAGAAAGGACCCTGAGATGGACCAGTGAAGATTAAAGACTCTTTTCAATCCCCAGAAGACAGCTGGAAAGACTATGGGGGAGGATGGAAATTCATTGTAAGGTTTTCTTTCTTTGCTTCATTCACAATTGTAACTGATCAGTTAAATGGATTCATGTAGGAATGATATTTGGGAGTGGTTGCCACAGCAAGTTCTGAACACCTTGGACTTTTGTCTGGTGGGAGGGAAATTTGTCCAGCATGTTTGTATTGCCCGTATTGTAAAAGTAGCTGCATACACACATGTCCACACACAGAGACACCCCATTCAGAATTAGACTGAAACTATCCCCTTCACCTACCTCCACACGAAGCTTCTCCTTTTTGCTCTGTGGCACTAAGGCCCATATCTCCCTGCTAATTCCATGGCAGAGGGGCATCCCCCTCAGGCAATTCCCTCACTTGAAGAGATTCACAGATGATGCTGCCCAACTGCCCAGTAAAGCAGGGTATGTTGCACTGGTGGTCTCATGAATAGGGGTCCCAGGCCTCATCGTGTGTAATTTTAAAAATACTAAATAGCCTGGATTGCACACTGGCTAACCTCAATTTAGACTTACAAATCTTGCATGCACTAAAGTAAGAGCTACTGCAGGTTCAAGAAACAATTATTAATGGATTAATGGATACGTGGTAGCTTGAAAGGCAGTTACAATACATGTACAAAATTATACCCAATTCTTCTCATTAGGTTTCTATGAATGACGTCATATTTGCTTTCTCACCTTACACATTAGGATTTCTATTTCATTCTGTTTTTTATCTGTTCAATCTATATGTAATGGAAATACCAGTGAAGTTTATCAGTCTCCATAAGGCCATTGTCAAGTCCACTACCATGTCCTGCCATTCTGTTGGAAGTGGAGGAGGATGGCTTGCTGGCATTTTTCACATGCTTTTGCTTTTGCTGTAACTGTCTGGGAATTAGAGAGGGGGATTGTCTTTGGAGACAGAGCAGACTCCCTCCCAGCCGGTTCCAGCCTGGTTTCAAGGTTATGGCCTAAGAGTGAACCATTATCTCAAAACCTTATGGTATCACATTAGCTGCCGGTGGACTACTTGGGGGCTTCTGTTTAGGGGACACAAAAGAATTGCTTTGTACTTTCCGGGGCCTTTTTCAGATTTCACCTGACTTTACTGCAACTGTACTCTCTCAGTAAAAGTTCTTTTGATTGAACTCAATGGAGTCAAGAGTTTTGCTTTTCTGAGAGACCAGCTGGGGCAGGTCCCTACAGCCATGTACTGTAACTGTTGAATCAAGGTATTCATCCTAAATATAATTGCTTAATTATCAGACTGTAAAAGGGTTCAGATTTCTAAATCCTTTCAAATATTAAAATCACCTAAAACATTTTATTTCTGATCAACATTCTAACAACACAGTTTTAAAACAAACTGTTCAACACATATTATAAATTTTAAACAGTGTTTAATTTCTGTGTCTTATAAGTATGACTATGCATTCATAATGATTCTCTAGAAAAACAGTCAGATGGCAATTGGACTAGCTGCGAACAAGCGGGGATGCTGATTTTTTCCCCTCTCAGGAAGGTTTTACAGAAATAACTCCCTTTTGATAGGCAGAACACTGCACTAATGACCAGTAGTTACATAGCAAAAAGTGTGAAGTGGTAAGTTGGCTTCTTGTTTAAGAAATTAGAATAGAACAGAATAGAATAATAAGAGTTGAAAGGGACCTTAAAGATCTTATAGTCTCACCCTCTGTTCAAGCAGGAGACCTTATAACATTTCAGAAATGGCTATCCAATCTCTTCTTAAAAACCTCCAGTGATGGAGCACCCAAAATTTCTGAAGACGAGACATTCCATTGATTACAGTATTTTTTTTGGACTATAAGACACTCTGGACTATAAGATGCACATTAGCTTTAGAGGAGGAAAACAAGAAAAAAAATCTGTGTCTGCCTCCCAGCATCGATCTGGTATTCATCTGGCTAGCGTCCTCGCCACCATGGCCCACTCGCAGTTGGCCGTTCGCCGCCACCACTGCCCATTCGCTGCTGCCACCTGTTCATTTGTCGCTGCTGCCACTGCGGCCTATTGCCACCACTGCCATTTTCCACCACCTGTTTGCCGCTTCCCATTTGCCACTGCTGCCACCTGTTTGCCACCGTCACCCATTCACCACCACAACCCGTTCACCGCTGCCACTGTGGCCCATTTGCCACTGGTTGGTGTGATCGGTGGCGAACGGTCAGTGGTAAAGTGGTGGTGGTGGTGATAGGTGGCGATAGGCCTAGAACAGCTGATTGGCACTGCACAAACCCTCTCCCCCTGCCACAATATTCACTCTATGATGCACAGACATTTCCACCCACTTTTTTTGGAAAAATACGGTAATTGTTCTGTCAGGAAATTTCTCTTTATTTCTAGATTGGATCTTTTCTTAATAAGTTTCCACCCTTTGCTTTTTGTCCTTGTCACTTCACGTGATCTTGATTCTATCCCTCTGTTAATGCTTTATGTCATCTGCAAATTTGATGAATTCCACTCTATTCCCTCATCTAAGTCATTTATGAAGATGTTGAAGAGTATTGGGCAGACTCTTGAGGTACCCCAATGCACACTTCCCTCCATGTAGATGTAGTTCCATTAAGAACTACACATTGAGTGAGGTTGATCAGCCAGTTATGAATCCATCTGGTGGTAATGCTGTCTACTCCACATTAGCAGTAATAGCAGGTTGTGGTCCATTTTCTGCTACACCAGACTATATAAACTATAACCAAAAAAAGTTGCAGTCTATTTTTGGCCTATGCTTTTTTTAATTGTCCCTTGCTTGTCCTTATTGTCCAAAATATTCTACAGGCACAAATGTATCTTTCCATTTGCCATGCAGTGCAACAAGATAAAAATCTACATTTACAAAGCAAAGATAAAGGCAGTATCCTTTTCTTTCTCTCCACAGATCTCTAGCACAGTGATCCATCTTAATTCTTTTTGGTCAGTGAAAAAAATGCTTTCAATAGTTTCCAGACCTTCCCTTTAGTGTTCAGAATTATAATATACTTTGTTATTTAGAAAATACTGGACAAAATCCTCAGAGATCTAAGTTTGCATTAAAACCAGGGGTGAGATGCTCCTGGTTCGGACCGGCTTGGGCGAGTAGGTAGCGATGGCGGCGGGCAGTTTGGAGAACCGGTAGCAAAAATCCCTTCCCCCCCCAGCCTCCAGCTTGCTTACCTTTGCACGCCTGCCTTGCTTCGCTTGCTGTAATCCCTGCAATCCATTGCATCAGCAAGCAACTGAATCTCCCTGCTTGCAATCAAGCTCATCAGTGAGCAGCTTTATCTGCCTGCAAGTTTTTTTCCCCTTTGGGAGCTTTAAAAAAAATAGTTAATTGGGTTTTTTTTTTTAGTTGTTCTTTTTTTAGACCTAGCCACTTAAAGTTTAGGAAGGTTTAAATTTAGTTGCTTTTATATAAAAATAAAAATAAAATAAAATAATATTTGTGCAGCTTTCTGAGATTTTCTGTGTTTCTGTAGTGTTTCATTCTAACTACACAAACACACAAAATCTCACAAAGCTGTATGTGGAATTTTGTGTGTGTAAAGTGTGAAAGTTGGTTTTTTGTGGCTGTGTGAGGTTCCTGCTTGTTGCAGGGGCCATTTTGGGTCTAGCACAGCTGCTTTTACCTTGTGGGTGAGCCAGTTGTATTGTGTTATGTTGTGTTGTGTGCGTGTAAAGTTTGAAAGTTGGTTTTTTGGGCTTTTTGTGGCTGTGTGAGGTTCCTGCTTGTTGCAGGGGCCATTTTGGGTCTAGCACAGCTGTTTTTACATTGGGTGAGCCAGTTGTGTTGTGTTGTGTGTGTGTAAACTGTGAAAGTTGGTTTTTTGGGTTTTTTGTGGCTGTGTGAGGTTCCTGCTTGTTGCAGGGGCCATTTTGGGTCTAGCACAGCTGCTTTTACATTGTGGGTGAGCCTGTTGTGTTGTGTTGTGTTGTGTTTTGTAGGTTAAAAAAGGGCAAAGAAGTGATGTCAACTTGGCCACGCCCATCTGATCACCAAGCCCTGCCCACCCAGTTACCTGACCACCAAGCCCCGCCCACCCAGTCACCTGACCACCAAGCCCACTAATTAAGCCCACAGAACTGGTAGCGAAAATTTTTAGATTTCACCCCTGATTAAAATTTGTGGTCACAGTGAACAAGAAACCATCTGGATTTCAGAAAAGCTTGATTAAAAACCAAAGAGACTAGATGTGTTAAGGAGAGAAAAAAGAAGAAGGCCCCTTTATAATTATAAATTATATAAATTATATAATTATAAATTATAATTATCCAATTGGATAGCTAGGTTGAATATCAGCAACCTGCGGCTCCGGAGCCAAATGCTGTTCTTTCATCCCCCTGCTGCAGCTCCCCATCGCAGCAGAGGGATGAAAGAGCTGTTGGCCTGTTGCGGCAGTGGCGATGGCAATGGCTGGAGCCTTAGTGCAGGAGTGAAGAGTCCCTGTACTTGCTTTTGTGTGGCAACAGGATTCCGCCTTCTTCGTGATACATTTGCTGTTGCTGCTAGTAAAGAGGGCTGGGAGAGAATGGCAGGGGCGGACCTTGTGGGATGGAGGCCATTCCCCAAGCCTGGCCTTCCTCCTCCCTCATTGGCGGGGCAAAAAGAAAGAAAGGAGCGGCATGGGGAAGCGCTCCCCTTCCCCAGCTGAGCACTTCCCCATGCCTGGCCTGGTAGTGCCCCCATTGGTGAGTCAGACAGTGGAGAGGCCTGGCCCAGCTCTCACAGCGGGACATTGTTCGGCACCTCCAGTTGCAAGCTGCCACCTTTGAAATACGCTGAGCCTTTGAGGAAGCCAGGCAGTGATGGCTGGGGCCGTGCGGGGGGCGGGGGATGGGGTAGTAGAGATGTCAGGGCTGCTCCCCCCTTCTCAGTAAGCTGGGCCTGGAGGAGCGTGGAGGGTCAGAAGGTGCGCTCCAACGTCACCCCAACATGCATTTCCAGTGCACTCCTCTGTCCCAAAGTGGGATTGAGTGGGGGGTAGGGGGAAGGGAGCAGGGAGCAGGAGGAAGAGTAGGGGGGCTTCTAGGAGGAGAAGCCCAGCTGGCTTTCCTTTTGGTGTGGGGCTGGATGAAGACCCAATAAAAATCCAATTTTTCCCCATCCAAATATATGGGGAAAATAAAGGCCTGGCGGTCAGGAGTCCAAAAGGGGGGGGGGTCCTGTTCATCGGAGGATCAGAGAGGAAATCAGTCAAAATTTGGACAGGAGGCTATTCAGAGAGGGATCTGCCTTGGTCTGTTCTTCCCTCCCCCTTAGAAGTGGAATAAAAGTAGGTGGTATGTGTGTGTGTGTAAAAATAACAGCCTGGGATAGCTTCAGCCACAAACAACAGCTGCTCTTATTTTTGCTGAGAACTTCTAAACTACACAGCATTCTTTAATAAATACTAACAATAATGAACCATAATGTACAGGATTAAAGGAAGGAAGGTGAAATCAGAGGAGGGGGGAGGATGGATGGATAGATGGAAGGAAGGAAGGAAGGAAGGAAGGAAGGTGAAATCAGGAGGGAGGGATGAAGGAAGGTCAAATCAGAAGAGGGGGAAGGAAGGGCAGGGAGAGAACAGAAGGGAGGAAGGGAGGAATAAGGATGCCCCACCCCCAGAGGCTACTGCACTACACTCCCATCATTCCTGAGTTGTGCTGTTAAAGAAATCCAGTGCTACCAGGGAGAAGTCAAGTTGTGAAAGAGTGATTGAAATTCCTCACATTGAAACTAAATGGTGATAGGTCATAACAGAGGTGTGCATTCTCCCTGACACAGTTTCTTGTTATGTGTCCTATGATTTAAATTTAAGATAAATATATTTCTCTGCTGTCCTCAATTCAGCCAGTTATCACAGGGCATTGCCAGAGTTGAAGGGGATCCTGCAGAAGATGCCACAGGAGCCAGTCTTATCTCTGTACCCATCAAGCATTCCATGTCCTGGTTTCTCTTCCCCACCACCATTTGCTCTTCTAGCACGCTTTCCTTTCCTTTGATATAACAGGTAAAAGTGTTTGAACTACCTGAGAGCTAAACTTTAGTTGTTCTTGAAATCTTAATTTCTTCAGAGGGGCTCAAATAGTGGAAAGGGGAGAGAGAGAAAGAAAGAGAAAGGGAGGGAGGGAGGGAAAGGGGGGGCGGGGACAGGGCGGGCCGGGCCCGGCAGGGCAGGGCAGGGCAGGGCAAATAATTTTACAACCAGTTCTCTGCCCTAATGACCAGCTGGGTAGTTGTGGCTGTGGGGGGGGGTCATGGGACTGGGTAGGAATGAGTGACGTCAAGTTGGCCACACCCACCCAGGTTTTGTGGCTCCTGGTGTTTTGTTTTCTGTGGGAAATGGCTCTTTGCATGTTTAACGTTGCTGACTCCTGAGCTAGGTAAACAGCTGTTCTCAGTTGCATTTAGAATTGGAAAGGAAAAGAAAAAGAGACAACATTTATTATTATTGGTTGCTGTCAGCCAGATGTTTAGATCTGGCATTTTTATCCAGATATCAAGTCCTTCCTAAGGTGGTGATAGTTGTTGTTGTTGTTATTATGATGATGATCATTGCACAGTCAGCCAGATGTTCAGACTGGGCTTGGTATTTTTGTCTACCTATTGAGTCCTTACCAAGGATAGGCAAAAATTGATGTTTGATGGTGTTACAGGTATCGTCGTAGGATGGAAGCAGTTCCAAGTAAAGCCACCTTCTGCAATTGACTGATGGCAAATTTGTCAATGCCTATGGTGTTCAAATGGTACTCCAGTTGTTTTGGGATTGCACCCAAGGCATCTATTACAATTGGGACCACCTTTGCTTGCCTTTGTCACAGTTGTTCTATTTCTATTGTAGGTTTTTGTATTTTGTTATCTTCTCCAAGTCTTTCTCTTCTATTCTGCTGTCTCCAGGCACTTCCACTATCCAGACCTTTTTTTTTAAAAAAAATCAAGTTTTATTGGGTTTTTTTCCCCCACATCTTTTTTGAACAGAGTATTGGTCATATCTTATCTTATACAATTTATCAAATTCAAATACATTTTACTCAATTATAATTTTTGCCACAATTTTCTTTTTTTCCCTTTTTTTAATCATATCTCAATATTTGTTTGCTTATTTATATAAAAAACATTTTTTTAAATTTGATTTATATGCCGCCCTTCTCTGGAGACTCAGGGCGGCTTACAATGTGTTAAGCAATAGCCTTCATACTTTTGTGTATTTTATACAAAGTCAGCTTATTGCCCCCACAATCTGGGTCCTCACTTTACCTACCTTAGAAAGGATGGAAGGCTGAGTCAACCTTGAGCCTGGTGAGATTTGAACTTGCAGTAATTGCAGGCAACCTACCATCTCCCTCTTTTCTTTCTTTCCTACTTTCTCTTCCCCTTCTCTTCTTCTCTTATCTACTTCCCCCCTTCTCCTTCTCATCCTCTCTTCCCCTCTCTCCTACTCTAATTTCCCTTCTCTTCCTTCCTCCCTACTCTTCCTTCCCTCTCTCTCCTTCCTCTTCCCTTCCACCTCTCTTCTCCTCATCTCTCTCTATTGCTGTATTCATCTTCGATTTAATATTTTCCACTATGGAGTCCAGGCAACCCCAATCTTTCATTTATCAAGTATATTTCACAAAATTCCTCTTATCTTTTTAATTATAAACGGTATATTTCATCTTATTTATTCCCTTTAAATTTTTACCCAAACAATCTTCCAATCCTTTATCTTCTTTACTTTTAACAATATGTTTTTTCTTCTTTACTTCTTGCAAGTATAACACTTAAATCATTTTTTAACATTTCAATTTCATTCAATTTTACTTTCAGTTTTCCATCATAATTTCAATTAATGCTTGTGTTACTTATTTCTCTCCATTTAATGCTTTCTCCAAAATCATTCTTTCTTTCACATTGTACCTACTGGTCTATTTCATTTAACAACATTTTCACATATAATTTCTACCACTAACATCATTCTCTTTATTAACAAATTAACATTTTCACTGACTCTTAACCATTTTTCCCTTATCTCTCCACAACTCCATTTCTTAGTTCCCATTCCCTTACCTTCCTCTTTTTCCTTTTCTTGTATCTCCCCTTCAGCCTCTTTTCTTTAATTTTAATTCTATTCATTTTCTTTCTCAATCTTTCCCCATTTATTTCTCTTCTTTTCTTATTTGAGATGTATTTTCCCTTATCCATTCTTATTCTGTCACTGCTAAACCCAGTGTAATCATCTTTATCTTTATTTTCAATTATTTCTTCTCCAATATTATCTCTTTGTTTCTTTTGTTTCTCATTCTTCTGTTCTCTTTCTCTTTTTTTGCATTCTAACCAGGGCTGGATTTTCCTATAGGCTAACTAGGCTTCAGCCTAGGGCCTCAAGATCAAGAGGGGCCTCAAGATCAAGAGGGGCCTACATTCAAATTGTTAGCAAAATTAAAATTACACTTTCACTATAGGTGAAAGGGCCTCATAAGTGAAATAGCCTAGGGCCTCTTTTCATCTAAATCCGGCCCTGATTCTAACCAGTCCTCTGCTTCTTTGTTTCCCTTAAGTCCTCTGCTTCTTTGTTTCCCTTAAGTGCTTCTCTTATTTTTTGAAACATCTCCCTCAATGTCTCCTATTCCTCCTCCCAATTCTCTATATTTTCAATTTAAAAGGCTGAGATTTTTAAATTTATTTTCCTTTACATATATTTCAGATTTCCAAGTCCATATATTTTTCCCCCCTTTAAATAATGTCCAATTCAGATCTTCCCTTGAGCCAGCACTGTTTTAGTCTTTGTCCTTTATTGTCCTTTATTCTCTTATCTTGGTAGAGCTGTATAAATCCTCTTGCAGCTCTTTCTCACGCTCTCTGCCAGCAGCTGTCTTTCTCAGATTCACAATCCTTTGCATAACAAAATAGCCATCTTGTAATACACAAAAGCATTCGCTTTCTCTTTTCCACATTAAGTTCTTCTACTGTTTAAAATGTTTTTCTATCGTCTTTTCCTTGTCTTATTCCCCCCCCCCCACAAATCCAGTTTTAAATCCGAATGGAAGATTTTTCCAGGGCTTTAGGTTTGATTTTTCAAGTTCCAGCTTTTTTTTCCTCCGCTTTAGTCCTTCTGTGCCAATTAGCCACCAACCTTCCGCTACAATTTTTTCAAGCAGTCAAAGGCTTTTTTTTTCTTTTACCTGTGAGTTGGCCAATTACTCACCCGGCAACAATACTCCGTTCAATTACTGCTCCTACATTCCCTCTTTCTGATTGTGGCCGTTCTGGCTTGTGACAGCTCCTTAATGGCTGGCTTCCTTCACCGACGGGTCGAAGACTAATGCCAGCATTTCAGGGAATTTGCGCATTCCCTATCCGTGCCAGCCAGCATCTTCTTTCTTGGCTGTCTCCACAAGACATCTATGATCTCTGGGGATCCCCAAAATCGGCTAGGATATCGGTGTTCTTCTGGAGCCCCAGAATCCACACCGTATCACCTGATGCTGGCCACGCCCCCCCTCTCCCATCCAGACTTTTTTGTCTTTCTTATTGACAAGTGTTAAGTCCAGTGTGTTATGTGGCAGGTGCCTGTCTGTCTGGATTCTGAAGTCCCAGAGCAATTTTACTTCTTCATTTTCTATGAATTTTTCTATTTTATGGTCCCACCAATCATTTGCCTTGCTTACAGGCAAATGATATTTCTTGCAGATCTTCCAATGTACCATTATTGCTTCTTTGCCCTGCCACTGCTTGTAGTCAGTCTGTGCAATCTTCTTGCAGCAACTTACCTGGTGGACCACTGTTTCTTCAGCTTATGTCAGGGCTGCCTCTGTCCATTTCCTAGGAAAGAAAAATCCTTGGCTCCATAGATTTAAAGAAAAGTACTTTTACTAGGAACGAACTGAAAGCAAGAAATTCCAGGCAAGTTCTGAGGCAAAGGACGTGAAAACAGCAACTTGAAACAAACTGTACAGCCCAACCCCCTTGTAGCTAGGCAACCAGAGGCTACTACAAATCCAGGCTGTAGTTGCAAAGCTGCAATGAAAAATTCTCCACTGATCCCTTTCCTCTTTTCTATAGCAGTAAGCAGCAGGCTAGCTGACAGCTTCTTTGCATAGATGGCACTTACTGTCTGTTGCTGTCTTCTCAATTCTGGCTTTGTATACATTTGTCCTTAAGGCTTGGTCTTGTGCAGCCAGAATTAATCCTTCGGTCTCTTTCTTTAACTTTCCTGCTCTTAGCCATTGCCAGGTCCTGTTATTATCTGCTTCCCCTGCTATTTTTTTTAATGTACTGGCCATGTAGTGCTTTGTCTTCCCATGCCTCCATTCTGTTCTTCATTTGGTCTTTCTTATAGGCCAGTAGTCAGCAAATCTTCCTGGCATACTAACTTCAGTGCATCTTCTTCATTGTCCTTCAGATATTTTTCAAAAGCCCTTTTTTCTTCTTCAACCATCTGATGTACTTGCAACATTCCACATCCACCTATTTGCCTTGGTAGGTAGAGTCTGTCAATGTTGATGCAAGAATGAAGGGCATGTTTCATTGTCATTATTTTTCTGGTCTTCCTATCCATTGCTTTTAATTCTGCTTGAGTCCAGGCCACTATTCCTGCTGTGTATCTAATAACTGAAATTGCCCTTGATGGTATTTCCTTCATTGAGTTTGGACTTTAAGATCTTTTTCACTCTCTTGATGTGTTGTTGTTGTTGTAGTAAAAGAAAAAGAAAAAAGTCTGAAAATTTCTTTACTTCTACTGTCTCTTTAAAAGATTTAATGGAGCCTGTATATTAGAATTTCATAAATATGGCATGTTGACTTGCGTTAATTTTTTTTTGTAACCTTGCAGCATTGCAAGAAGCACAAAACAGGCTTGCAAAGCCAGCTTGTCATTATAATTCATTTCTTCTATGAAGAATTGTGCATTTAGCCAACAATCACTTTAATAAGCGCAAGCTGCTCAATATTTTTTTAAAAGATTTTTGCAAATGTCAATTTGAAGTTCAAGTCTTAAGGCTAGACCCTCCCAAGTGAAATTATGTTTCCTCATAATCATAATAAATGTGGATTGCTATATTTACAAATATACACAGTCCTCATTAATCAAGTTGCCCTATAATAACTTTTTTCTCGTAAAATACCTCACAACCACAGGTGGGCAGCACATGAATTAACAACTGGTTCGCCCCAGCACCGAAAATATGAGCATATGCTTTGCGCAGCACAGTTAAATGTAGCGTGCTTCACAATGGGGGAGATGGGGTCTTCTCCTCCTCCTGGAGCCCATTATGATGTGGAGCATCAGCTGCAGCTGAGCCGGGCCAGTGTCAGAGAGCAAGTCATGCATCTCCCTGAGTGACTGAGGTGCGCGCAGCACCAACAAGAGCTGGAAGAAGGCCAGCATACAGGGGCGCTTCTCTCTCGCTCTGGAATAGGAAGCGAGTCTCCATTCCCCACTTCTCAGGCGAGGTGACTGACAGGGGAGGGCAAGGGGCAGGGTGACTGACAGGGGAGGGCAAGGGGCAGGGCCAGCCAGTGGTGGGTTCAGCTGACAGGGAACCACAGCACAGGGATGAAAGAGCTTTATTTATCTGGGGACCTGAAATGACTCTTGATTTAAACCATATGGTAAAAAGCACCCAAAGAAGAAGAAAGAACAACATCAGCAAAAAAAAAAACAAAAAAAACCCCTCACCTGTTTTGGGAAATGGTTCAAGAGGGAGCACACATATGAGACCTGTTTCCCACAGAAAAGAAAACACTCGGAGCCACAAAATCTGGGTAGGTGTGGCTGGAGGGGTCATGTGACTGGTTGGGAGTGATGTTGAGTTGGCCACACCCACCCAGGTTTTGTGGCTCCCAGTGTTTTCTTTTCTGTGGGAAATGGGTCTAAATGGCTCTTTGAATGTTTAAGGTTGCAGACCCCTGCTCTAGCCAAATCAGAAGGACAAGCATATGCATACTTAAGATGCTTCAGTGGAAATACCTTGAACACGATAAAATCAGGATGGACAGACAGTCTTGAACTTTTTTTTTTTTTCTGGGATCTGAGAACCAACAACTAATAACAACTATTAGAGCCAAGATTTAGTCTGATTTCAATAGAAATCAAATTTTCACAGAAAGAAATAAACTCTTGGTCACTTTGCTAAATTTCTATGGCGATTCTCAGTCATCCAGGTCATGATTGTCCCAAAGGTGCTTTTTCAAGAGGCAACTGGACTTTCTTTGTTTTTCCTTAAAGAAATTTTGCTTCTCATTTAAGAAGCTTCTTCAGCTGAGAAGCAAAATGTCTCCAAGGAAAAACAAAGGAAATCCAGTTGCCTCTTGAAAAAGCATCTTTGGGTGTTGGTCACTATCTTTCTTCATTTCAGTAATAATTTAGAATAAGGAAGCCATATTATGAAAAATAGTAAACCAGAAATTACTGTCAGTTTACAATTACTGCTGAATCCACCTCCATCTTTCTTTCAACGGAATTTGATCTAATTTACTATGCATGCATTATTTATATCATGGTCATTTCTGCACAATGGTAACCAAGGAACCTATTGAAAAATGAGATAAAATAAAGCAAAAACCATCTTGCAAATATAAATAATACAAAAACATGTCATGTCCACAGCAACCATGATTTTCATCAGAACACATTTGTTTTTAATGAAATTGCAGTACACAAAGAAAGTTGCTTTAAAAAATATTCATCTCTATATTGCTTCCCAATTTCTTGCATTTTTATATCAGATTTTTTTTCCAGATTCAGGCCAGAATGCCTAAATATTCTAGCAGTATCTAAACTTACCTATCTAGATAAGTGTAGGTTAAAAATTAAGCCCTATGATGACACCAACTATAACAGAGGACATATTTATTTACATTATATCAGGAACAAACCCATGCCTTGTTAAACAGATGTCATTCCGTTAACCCAGCTATGTGGGTTTTCGGAGCTCCTCAGAAGTGAAGAATTAAAATGAAAAGGCAAGTTGTCTGTTTTGAACTGTTTGGTTTTTGTTGTGGTTTCCAGACTGAGGAAATTTATTCTGAATAACTTTTCCAGTCTCAACACCAAGTGTGTCAAACTCAAGGGCCAGATCCGGCCCATGATGTAGTTAGATCTGGTCAGTGGTGAAATCCTCCTCGGATCGCCACCAGTTTGCTGCCTGTGCATGCACGGTGTGCACCAAACTCATGCTGGATGCGTGCATGTGTGGTGCGTGCCAAAAGCACGCTGCATGCATGCATATGCTGCACATGCATGTGCAGTGCGTGCCAAATGCACGCTTCACATGGAAAAAGAAGACTTCACTAGGTAAGTAGAACAGCGAGGGGCAGGAAAAAAGCTGTGCCGCGCAATTTAGCTTTGCTAGAAAGCACGATTCTGCTTTCTAGCAAAGCTAAACTGCGCAGCACAGCTGATCGTTGGAAATACTGGTTCAGATGAACTGGTAGCTTTTTTTAACCACTGATTCAACTGAACCTGTAGTTTTTATCACTACCGGTTCACCCAAACTGGAGTGAACTGGTAGCATTTAATCCCTGGATCTGGTTCATGGTGCTGCCCTTGAAATAACGAAGGACCGCCCAACGGTGCCTCAGCCTCGGCCCAGGTGGCTGAGTTCTGATCTACAACTTGGTGGTAGATCCAGGCCGGAACACAGTCAGCCATAGATCTGCGGGGCCACTCTGGAGCCAGAAAAGGGCTGCGCCCACCCTGCCCCCTGTGCAGGCGCACAGAAGGCAGTGAGCATGTGGGGCCTGACTTTCCTGGTGATCATTTTTCCCCGCAGGCTGAATGCATTTTGAGTGCTTTCCTTTCACCCAGGATACCAGTCCCTATGTGCTCACCCCCTGCTATATGGACGCCCAGGGGATGGGCTCCAGGGCAGCCCCAGAGGTCAGATCTAAGGCTGACTGCATTCTGGCCTGGATGGCCACCATAAGTTGCAGATCAGCGCCATGCCCGCCACCAGCCCCTCCATGGCCAACTCGCTGGCCTGGCCTTGCAGCACGCAAGTGCTTCTCTTTCACTGGGACTGTCCCCACCCCTGCATGGGAAAGTCACAGCCACAGCCACCAGCAGTATGGCCACGGGCAGTGCTGCCAATCTCTCCCCCTCCCCTCATCCCTTCCTGACTGCAGAGAGAGGGAGGAACGGAGGAGATGTGAATGAGAAGGGGTAAGTTAAGTTAAGTTAAGTTACCATATTTTTTGGAGTATAAGACGCACCAGAGTAAAAGATGCACCTTAGTTTTGGGGAGGAAAATAGTAAAAAAAAATCTGCCTACCAGGTATTCATCTGGCTAGTCCTTAGTCTGGTCAGCTTCAGCACACTAGTTCACTCACTGGTTTTGTGGTTGGAGCTAAAAAAACAGCTTCTAAAGCACAGCTGATCATCGGAGGGAGCAGCAATTAGAAAAGCAGGCAAAGCACAATTGCATTGTGGGGCTGAAAAACAGCTTCAAAAGCACAGCTGATGTCCGAGGGAGCTCCAGTGACTACAGCAGGTGAAGCACAGAAGGGGTAAGAGAAGGCAGCATTGTTCTGCATAGGCATTTTGGGCACTGTGTGTTGCATTTTCAGCCTCCAAATGTGTCGCATTTTGGGGCAGTGATCGGCAGAGAAAGTGGCCGTGGCTTGGAACAAGTGGGTTTTCTGGTCTTGGGAACGCCGGGGCGAATGAAGGCAGACTCTGGAGTTAAGGCATGAAGCTCAGGTGGGGGGAGAGGATGGCGGCCATCTCCCCCTCGGGCATCCTCGCAGGCGCCGGATCAACTCCGCCCTTTGGCCAGGGGGGCAGAGGCACTTCTTTCTCTTCCTCCTTCCCTTCTCTGGCTTCTGCTCATCGGGATTGCCTGGCTAAATTGGATGCCGAAGCAGCTGCCCTGGGGACTCTGGCATCCCGGCATCGGCATCATCACCGTCATCGTGGCTGCCTTCCCCCCCACCCCTTTCCACAGCTGAGCATTTAACCCAGCTGGTGGGCTCATCGGAGTAGCCCCTCACCACCCCCTCCCCCTAAGCCGCTCCATTCATCAAATCCTGTCTGGTCTGGTCCTGGCAGGTTGAGCCTGTTTTAGCATCCAACCCACACCCACACACACAAAAAAAGGTTTGCCGAGGGCGAAGTTGGGTTGTGGATGCGGACAGCAGGCAGAAGTCAAAGACAACCCCCCACCCCTCCCCTGGCAACTCCAGGGCCGACCAAGAGATCCCCTCCCCACTCTTCCTCCTCTGCCGCAGGGTTTTGGCATCCACGGGGGCTGATCGCTATCCGCCCACAGGGGGCTCCTTTCAGCATGTGGAGCAGTGGAATGTCTCTGTGCCCTCCCATTGTGTGGATCTGGGCAGGCTGGGAAGCAAGGCGGGAGCCCCTGGTGCTGCCTTCCAGTCGAGGGAGGGAGGGAGGCTGCTTGAAAAATCCACTTGTTGGGACTGTGGTCTCCCCTTTTTTCCCCTGGCTGGCTGGGCTCCCTCATGTGGCTTGCGAGGGGCTTCCAATTGCAGCTCACCCTTTCAGGAGTGGCCGCCCCCATCAGAGATCCATTTCTCCCGTGAGCCAAGGCCAATTGGCGGCGGGTGTGGGTGGGAGAAGCTGCAGCGAAGAGGTCAGGGCGGCCGGAGCCACTTTTCATGTGCAGCTGGATGGTGCAGTTGTGAGCGGGGGCTCGCACCAGAGCTTCGGCGCCAGTCCTCCTCCGCCTAGTCCCAGGTCAACAGGGCTAGGGCTGGCAAGTTTTTTTGCAGCCGCTCTTTGCGGCCCCCACTAAGAGAAGGGGTGCACGAGCTACAGTTTGAAGGAGCGGCCTCCTCAAGGATGGCAGGGGTGCATGGGGCATGTTCCCCCTCCCTTCCCTCCCTCCAGCCTTGCTTCCTCATGTTGTGTTGTTTGCATGGCAACTGTGCATGCGTCTAAGTATTTGGGGGGGCTTATTTTCAGGGGGGCTTATTTTAATGCATGCACTCAAAAGCCCAATTGGGCTTATTATCGGGAAATGTCTTAGCTTCGGGGAGGTTACCTTCTCAAGGTTACCTAGTTACCTTGAGGAGAAGGTAAGCAAAGCTGGCCACCCCCTCAAGGAAGCAGGGGGTGGGGTCCCAGTGCCTCAGGAGCTTGAGGGCTGGGTTGGGCACTTGTCCTCCACTGCCCAGGCTCCAGCAGCGCATGCCACCATCTCGGGGTCCTCTGCATGGCCTGAGAGGGACGGTGAGGCTCCTCTGGTGGACTAGGCTTTGGCACTCACCCTGGTCTTGCCTTCCTCCACTGGACACCTCTGGATCCCCCCTTCCAGCCTTGCCTGGCCCCCACAGGAGGCGGAGGATGCTGCTGCTGTGTATCAAAGTGTGGAGGAGAAAGTTTGGAGGAAGCAGTTTCCTCCAAGTCCAACTTCTGCCTTGACAGATCTCTGGAGAAGAGGAAAGAGTGGCGGGGAAGCTGAATGAGGGAAGACTGCCCCAACAAGCCAGCATCCTTACCATACATGATTGGAAATGGGGATTCCCTTTCAAGAAGGGCCAGCCTCCCTCATGCAGGACCAGGGAGCACTGCTCCCCTGCCACCTCCTCTTGCTCTCCAGAGGTCTGTCAAGGCAGAAGTTGGGCTTGGAGGAAACTGCTTCCTGCAAACTTTCTCCTCCATGCTTCCACACACAGTAGTGGCGTCCTCTGCTTCCTGCTTTGCTGGGAGAGGGCACCAGACAGGGAAATGCCAACAATGGGATTGGGAGAAGAACGTCTCCTTTGGCATTCTGTGCCAAAGGAAGCACACACACACACAGTTCCAAGCTTGGATACTTTTATCTACATCTGAGCTTACAAACTGCAAATCATACCTGGGCTTGGGGAGAAGGCCCTCTCCTTCCTCTGTGGATAAAAGTCCCAAACTTGGAATGCATGTGTGTGTGTGTGCACGCACACTTGTGGGGCATCAAATTGTGCCCATGTCGAGTTAGCCAGTGCAACTTGTTCCATCCTGACCCAGCCATCCTGAGTCAGCCACGGCCAGTTAGCGGTGTCGAGCCAGCCACATCCACCCAGCCACACCCACCTAGTTGCGGTGACCCAGCTACTGGCTCTTTGAGGGAAATCATAATGCTGATCTGGCCCTAAATGAAATTGTGTTTGACACCCCTGCTCTATACCATAAAGTGGGTGGGAGGGTAGGAGCTTAAAATTGGAAAGAAGAAAGGGGAGGTTGTCTCCTTACATTTCACTTCTTACATTATATTTATTCATACGTCTTCTATGTTAGTGCAAAATTCAAGCTTTCCCCTTTCCCCTTTAAACAAGAGGAATATTTAAGCTTAAGTTTAAATAATAAATAAATATAATAAGAATACATTAAAATTAACCAAGACAGATGTCATAAAAAATTCTGGTAATCATATGACTCTCATTGTATGAAAGAAAACAGAGTAACATCTTTTTTATATCTGCTGATGACTTATAAACGTGAATAATCTTTAAGTGAAGTAATGGGCATCTGCTTATGTTAAGAAACTATTCCTACCTGTACAAGAGTAGTCATCAATTCTGATGTAACCTGTTTTGCAGACACACATAAATGATCCTGGTGTGTTGATACACATAGTATTTTCCTGACAGTAATGTCTCCCTTCAGCACATTCATCAATATCTGTGGATAAAACAACAAGACCAGATGAACAAACACTGCTGAATATCCTGTTTTTAACACAGATTGGAATAATGTCGCCAATTAGAGCAATTGTCTCTGTCTTATTTCTTAGGCCAAGTATGGGCAACCCACGGCTCCAGAGCCACATGCGGCTCTTTCATCTGTGTGCTGCAGTGTACTCCACTGTCCCGAAGTGGGATTGAGTGGGGGATAGGGGGAAGGGAGCAGGGAGCAGGGGGAAGGGTAGGGGGACTTCTAGGAGGAGAAGCCCAGCTGGCTTTCCTTTTGGTGTGGGGCTGGGGGAAGACCCAATAAAAATCCAATATTTCCCCATCCAATAAATGGGGAAAATAAAGGCCTGGTGGTCCAGAGTCCAAAAAGAGGGGTGGGGTCTGTTCATTGGAGGATCAAAGAGGAAATCAGTCAAAATTTGGACAGGAGGCTATTCAGAGAGGGATCTGCCTCTGAAGGTCTCTTCTTCACTCTCCCTTAGAAGTGGAATAAAAGTAGGTGGTGTATGTGTGTGTGTGTGTGTGTGTGTGTGTGTGTGTGTGTGTATAAAAATAACAGCCCAGGATAGCTTCAGCCACAAACAACAGCTGCTGTTATTTTTTGCTAAGAGCTTCTAAATTACACAGCATTCTTTAATAAATACTAACAATAACAAACCATAATATACAGGATTAAAGGAAGGGAGGTGAAAATCAGAGGAGGGGGGAGGGAGGGATGGATGGATGGATGGATGGAAGGAAGGAAGGAAGGAAGGAAGGAAGGAAGGAAGGAAGGAAGGAAGGAGCCAGTCTCGTCTCTGTATCCATCAAGCATTCCATGTCCTGGTTTCTCTTCCCCACCCCCATTTGCTCTTCTAGCACACTTTCCTTTCCTTTGATATAACAGGTAAAAGCCTTTGAACTACCTGAGAGCTAAACTTTAGTTGTTCTTGAAATCTTAATATCTCCAGAGGGGTTCAAATAGTGGAAAGGAGAGAGAGAGAAAGAGGGAGAGAGAGACAGATAGACACACAGAGAGAGAGAGGTGGGGTCAGGTGGGGCAAATAATTTAACAACTGGTTCTCTGCCTTAATGACCAGCTGGGTAGGTTTGGTTGGGTAGGAGGGAGTGATGTCAAGTTGGCCACGCCCACCCAAGTTTTGTGGCTCCCAGTGTTTTCTTTTCTATGGTAAATGGCTCTTTGAGTGTTTAAGGTTGCTGACCCCTGTCCTAGGCAGGGATTTAAGTTATAGTAGCCCAAGTCACCATTTTTTATTCTGTGACTGTTTAGTCATAGAAGCAATTTCCTTCATCCCTTGTAACACTTTAGAAGAATATTTATGACTACAAATATGACAGGCAACTGCTAATTGCTTTATGTAGATTGTTACATAAATAAAATGTATACCAGCCTCATATTATTGGATAAGTATATGTATATACTACACACACATGTGTGTGTATAGTGTAGTGTATATGTTTATGTATATGTATACATACAATTTATAAGTATATAAAATAATTAATATTTTAGTAATTTTAATAAATATAGTCAGAACAATGACTGGAATTATTGATTAATATTAGATGTTAAGTATTAGAAATTAAAATGGAAGAACAAATATCCACACTTATATTTGTGAAATTATTTTTATTACTTATGCAGCGTAGAAAATTATCTCAAAGAGATCACAGCAGCAGCCACCACATTCCATGGGAGGCAGATCTGAATTTGTTTATTGTATTTTTTTAAAAAGTCCTGTTTCAATTAAATCATCTATAAGAAGTAATTGTTCTACACTAAGACGCAACACAAATGATGCTGGTACATACATTTACATTATCTAATTTATTTTTTTAAATCTAGAATCCTACCAAATTAGCACAATAAATCAAAATATGTCATGATTTATAAAGCAATTTTAAGAAGGGCTGGAATTAATATTTTTCATAACCCATAATTAACCAAAGAACTAGATATAATAACAGTTAATCTTAAAGGGGACACAGTGGCTCAGTGGCTGCTGAGCTTGTCAATCGAAAGGTTGGCAGTTCAGTGATTCAAATCCCTAGTGCCACGTAACAGGGTGAGCTCCCATCACTTTTCCCAGCTTCTGCCAACCTAGCAGTTCGAAAGCACGTAAAAAATGCAAGTAGAAAAATAAGGACCACCTTTGGTGGGAAGCGTTCCGTGCACCTTTGGCATTTAGTCATGCCAGCCACATGACCACGGAGACTTCTTCGGGTGGCACTGGCTCTTCGGCTTTGAAACAGAGATGAGCTACTTCTGGTGGCACCGAAGGCGCCAAAGATGCTCCTTTTTGAGCGCAAGCCCCGCGATCTTGTAAAGCTGCTAGAACAGCGCAAATCAACTGTCTAGCGGCTTGAAAACTTTCTCCCTGGGAAAAGGGGAGGAAGAGAGCAGAAGGGCATAGGTAGAGCTCCCCAAGGAGCCTCAGGAACAATTCTGGGGCTTGAAGGGTGAGAGCTCCCTGGAAGCCCGACAGAGCTCCGGATCTGGGATGTTTCTGCTTTAAGCAGAAGACGCCGCGACCACCCCTGCAAACAACGCTTGGAATAAACATCATTCGGAAGCAGGCTGAGCAAACTCAGGAGAGATCAGATTTGCAAGTACTGAACTTTAACTCCAAATGTGTATTACTTCCTTCTGACTCATTAAGGGGAGAAAGTGAAACCAAGATGGTGATTGAGCTTTAATGGGGCGTGAAAGCGAAAGTTAAAGAGGAAAGTTTCATTTAGCGCTGGTAGCCCCTGTTTAAAATTAGAGATTTTTGCTTCAAAAAAAAAAAAGATTAAAGGCTAAAAAGATCACAGCAGTGATTTTTTTTAAAAAGGATTGATATTATTTAAAGACTGGGAATTTTTGGATTTGGTGGATTTGTTGTTCTGGCTGCTAAATAAATTCAAATTGGAAACTAAAAATGGCTTCAAAACAAGTAAAGACTATTGTCCCCAAAAGTGCTGGGACCTCGCCAGCTCAAACATCCAAATTGCAATCTCTCTCTGTTCCAATGGAACCACCAATATTAACACTTGAAATGTTGCAGGAAGCCCTTAAAATACAAGCCTCTGTTACAGAAAAAAAAATTACTTCGGTGTTTGAGGATAAAATTCGAGATGTTGCTGAGGAGATAGTTCAAATTAAAGAGATTATTCAAAAACGGAATCAAGAAATTAGAGAAGATATTATTATGGCAGTTCAAGGTCTGGCAGGCCATATTGAAGCAATAGATGAAAAAGTGGAAGAAATTAAGCAGTCTAATGAGAACTTGGAAAATAAAATGGGAGAAGTCCAGAATAAGATGGAAAGAGCAGAGGCCGATGTGATAATGATACAATATAGAGATATGGAATTTGCTTTGAGAATAAGAGGCCTCAAAGAAAATAAGCAAGAGAATTTGAGAGAGATCGTTTCAGAAGCATTTGCACAGATAATGGGAGATCAAAAAGCAAATCTTGAATGGCAAATTGACAAAATTTACTGTATCAATTCATGGGTTGCCAGACAGAAACATCTACCAAGAGACATTGTAGTCTATTTTACAACAAGGAGAATACACAATGAAATCCTAAAAGTCACTTTTAAAAATAAACTTCAAGTGTAGGGGCAGGAGGTTTTAATACTGAAAGAAATCCCCCCCCCAAAATGTTGAGAGCCAGAAGGGATTACACCTTTCTGGTGGAAGAACTGAGAAACCGCCAGATACAGTACAGATGGGAGGTTCTAGCCGGACTAGTGGTGAACTATTCAGGAGAAAGATATCGTCTTAATTCAGTGTGGAAGGCAAGAGATTTTTACACCAATGTACTAAATGCTGGATGCCCACAGTCTCCAGAAGCTAGAAGGAAGATGGAAGCAGAGGGGGCAAGAAAGGGGGAGAAGGAAGAATCGCTGGCACAGGCCCAAAGGGGAGCTTTGATTATTCAAGAAGACTTAATACAACTTTCAACTACTGCTCAAGCTTTGGAGGTATTTGACAAAATAGAAGAACCTAAGGATCAAAGACAGACCCGAGCGGCAGCCAAGTGTCAAGAAGAATTAAGATTGCAGCAACTAAACATGATGCAAGAAACTACAAAAACAGAAGCAGTGGGAGGAGCAAGACCAAAAAGTAAAATGCATGGAGATTTCCAGCAGATGCTCCAAAAGCTTCAGGCGGCCAAGAATGGCAACTCGATTTCTGACTTGGAATGTTAATGGCCTAAATTCACCACAAAAGAGGAGAAAAATATTTCATTATTTGAAACAGTTTAAAAATGATGTAATCTGTTTACAAGAGACTCATATTAGAAGTAAACATCAAAAATATTTAATAAATGCAAGGTTAGGTATACATTTTGTTGCATCTGCTCCCGAGAAGAAGAATGGTATAGTTATACATCTAAAAAAAGACTTAATTGCCAAATTAATTGAAACAGATGATCAAGGAAGATTTATAGCAATTGAACTTTTAATAAAAGGAGAAAAAACACTTTTAATTGGAGTATATGCACCGAACCAACAACAGGAAAAAATTTATAAGCTTTTACATTCCAAGTTACTACAATGGGATTACAAATCATGCATTTTATTGGGCGACTGGAATGGAGTTTTGGACACTAAAAAAGATAAGAAGGGGCTCTTGCAAAATATCTCAACGCGTGCTAGATTGCCAAAATCGTTTTTTGAAATGATGGATGATATGGAGTTTAGAGATATCTGGAGAGAGAGGAACCCTGAAGAAAAAGACTTTACTTTTTTCTCTGATAGACATCAATCTTTCTCTGGGATTGATTTCATATTAATTACTAATGATCTTTTTTCTAGGGTGAAGAAGACGAAGATCTGCCCAAGAGTTTTTTTTTTATTGAAAAGTTTTATGAAAAATACAAACATTTTCACCCCCCACCCTTCCCCCCTCAACCCCACCCTCCCCTTCCCACCCTCCCTTCCCCTCCCTCCCCCCACCCCCCTCCCTAGACTTCCCAGAACGAGCACAGGGTATAGCA